AAAAAAAAAAAAAAAAAGGCCAGGCCAGGTCACACACAGTGGCTAATACCTGTAATCCCCACACTGGGAGGCCAAGGAGGCAGGCAGATCACCTTTAGTCAGGAGTTTGAGACCAACCTGACCAACACAGTGAAACCCCATCTCTACTAAAAATGCAAAAATGAGCCAGGCGTGATGGCGAGTGCCTGTAATCCCAGACACTCAGGAAGCTGAGGCAGTAGAATTGCTTGAACCTGGGAGGTGGAGGTTGCAATGAGCCAGGATCACACCACTGCACTCCAGCCTGGGTGACAGAGTGACACTCTGTCTCAAAAAAAAAAAAGCGTAGCACTTTGGGAAGCCAAGGCTGGTGGATCACCTGAGGTTAGGAGTTCGAGACCAGCCTAGCCAACACGGCAAAATGCCGTCTCTACTAAAAGTACAAAAATTAGCCGGGCATGGTGGTGCACACCTGTAATCCCAGCTACTCAGGAGGGGAATTGCTTGGACCTGGGAAGTGGAATTTACAGTGAGCTGAGATCTTGCCACAGCACTCCAGCCTGCATGACAGGAGGGAGACTCCATCTCAAAAAAAAAAGGCCCCTGTGAAATATCAGGAAGTCCTGGATTTGTTTTCAAATGCTTAAGAAGAGACAGGGAGAGCATGGATAAAGTAGACATGACAAAATCTTGATAAAACCTTGGAATCTGGGTGGTGGTATATGAGAATTCATTATACTATTCTCTTTTGTGAACGTTTGAAATTTTCATTACTAAAAAAAGAGATTTTTATAATGAAAAAATTATTTTAATGAATCCATAAGCATCATTAACTCAAATTCCCTAGATACTCTTAATCTAGGTCCTTCAGGCTGACCTCCCTGACATGCTCTTTTAAATCCTGTCTAGCCTTCCTCAAATCATGTTGCTTTCTTGCTCCGAAACCACTAATAAACCCCTTTGGTGTCTCACAACCGACCCAACTGCACTGCATGATTTTCAAATGCAACCATGATTTGGGTCTAACTTTCCCAGACGATCTGGTTTCTACAATTTCCAGGTCCAAACCTCTACAGAGGCCAGGCCAGAGTCGTCTTGGGTCTACAATTTCCCTTCATCTGGAAAGCCCTGTTTCCTCCTTTTGCCTAGAGAAATCTGAGCCAGTCTCAAGCCCCCTATGCCCATAAAAGCGGATCACCTGAGGTTGGGAGTTCAAGACCAGCCTGACCAACCTGGAGAATAAACCCCATCTCTACTAAAAATACAAAATTAGCCCAGCATGGTGGCACATGCCTATAATCCCCGCTACTCGGGAGGCTGAGGCAGGAGAATCCCTTGAACCCGGGAGGCGGAGGTTGCAGTGAGCCGAGATCCTGCCATCATACTCCAGCCTGGACAACAAAAGCGAAACTCCATCTCAAAAAAAAAAAAAAAAAAAAAGCCAGGCTCAGTGGCTCACGCCTATAATCGCAGCACTTTGGGAGGCTGAGGCAGGCAGATCACGAGGTCAGGAGATCGAGACCATCCTGGCTAACGTGAAACCCCGCCTCTACTAAAAATACGAAAAATTAGCTGGGCATGGTGGCACGCGCCTATAGTCCCAGCTACTCAGGAGGCTGAGGCTGGAGAACCACTTGAACCTGGGAGGCAGAGGTTGCAGTGAGCTGAGATGGCACCATTGCACTCCAGCCTGGGTGACAGAGCGAGAGCGAGACTCCCTCTCAAAAAAAAAAAAAGAAAAAAATTAAACCAAAC